TGTGTGTGTGTGTGTGTGTGTGTGTTTCGTTGGCTTCTTTGTTAACTGTTCTCAATTGTCATTGGCAGGTCCTTTGGAGTGGTCCTTTGGGAAATCACTAGCCTGGCTGAGCAACCTTACCAAGGCCTGTCTAACGAACAGGTGTTGAAATTTGTCATGGATGGAGGCTATCTGGAGCCACCTGATAATTGTCCTGAGAGACTGTAAGTATAAAGAAGAGGTGGAGAGCATGAGTTTATTCAAAAGGCTTTGCAGTTCATATGTGTTTTGTGTCTGTATATCCCAGGTATATATGTGTGGGGGACAGGCCTTATGCCTACATGTATGTTTGTATAGCATGCCCTTACATATAGGCTTGTGTTTGCATATTGCATTTTGGATGCACACTTACATTTTCACATGTGTCTACATATGTGCTTATGTTCACATATTATTTATGCCTCTGCATGTGTCATGCAGTCTACATGTATACATTTGCACATCAAATCTGCTTTAAAGATTTATTTTTAATCTTAGTATATGAGTGTTTTCCTGTATGTATGTATGTATGTATGTATATGCATAACTTACATGCTTGGTGTCCAAGGACATCAGAAGAGGGTGTTAGATCCCTGGACCTGGACTTACAAGTGGTTGTGAACCAACACATGGGTGCTGGGAGCTGAACCTTTGTCATCTTCAAGAGGGGCAAGTGCTCTTAACCACTGAGCCATCTCTTTGCTCCTTAAAATTTTTTAGATGCGCTTGTGCATACCTGTTGTATATACACGTGGAGGCCAGAGGACATCATCCTCAGAAGTACCATTCACCTCCACTGAGACAGGGGCTTTCCTGGTTGTGGCACTCACTGAGTCAGCCAGGCTGAATAGCCAGCCACTGAGTCCCCAGCACCCCCCCCGACTCTACCTCCCGAGCGCGGGGATTGTAAACGTGTATATTTTTATGTAGGTTCTGAGGGCCCCACTCAGGTCCTCAGGCTTGAGGGGCGAGCACTTTCCTGAGTGAGCCATCTCCCACAACCTTGCCGTGTTTGTGTTCGTATCCGTGTCTTCATGTGCACGCTTACATTCGTCTTGTCTTTTCTCTTCCCATTCAAAGCTTTCTGGACATTGCTTCATCAAGGCCCTTTCCTAACCAGACCAGTTTGTGACTGGTTGAGAACTGGGGAATTTACCTGCGATGATTAGTTTTAATTACACCATCTAGAATTGTCTGGGAGGAGAGTATCACCGATACTCTAGGCAACACTGGCCTGTGGACATGTCTGGGGGGAATTGTCTTGGTTATGTTAACTGAGGTTACCTACCAGCCCACTGTGGGTGACACCATTTCCTAGGCAGGGAAACCTGAACTGTATGAAGCGGAGACAGCAAGCTGAGCAGGCATGCACACTCACTCTCTGGCTGCTCGTGGCTGCGCATGGGACGTGACGAGATGCTTTAGGTTCCCGTTGCCTTCATTTCCCCAGTCTGATGGACTGCAGCCTGGGAGCTCAAATCGATTCTGTCTCCCCAGGTGTCCTTTATTGGGACATTTTGTCATCCTAGCACTGGAAAGGAACCTAAGCCCCAGGGCAGAGGTTCACAACCTTTCCCTAAAGGCTCTATTATAAATACTGACAGCACGATGGCCTTGTGCAGTCGTGGCTTGAATACAGCCATAGGCCTTGCATATGGATGAGGCCATGGACACTGGCGGTCACTGCCGGGAAATGCCTGAGAAGTTCGGCTCGAAGGAGGAAATCCTTACTGTGGCTCACTTGACTCAGCCGCTCAGGGCCGTGGCGAGGCAGAAGGCCAAGGGTGGTAGGGAGAAGAGGAGGACTGAGACTGGAAGTAAAACACACCCCTGATCTACACGCCTCTGGCGACCTACTTCCTCCAGCAAGGCCCCTCCTCTTAGAGATTCTCTTACTCCGTGGATGGTTTCAGGCATCGACTAGGTTAGTGCCCTCATGACCTGGCCACTTTGCCGGAGCCGTACCTTGAACCACTGTTGCGTCAACAGCTCAGTGTTGGGTGCGCATCTGAGAAACAGCGCAATACCCTGTGACAATAAAACTTTATAAACACATGCAGGGGCCCAGATTTGATTCAAGGTCTGAAATTTGCTCTAGGGCAAGTTACGTGGGAGAAAGGAGAAGGTCAAAATGAAAATGCACGCCCTCGGCTCCCGTAGAGTCTCTGGGGCGTCTTGGGGCGTCTGTAAGGATGAGAAATGGACGCTTGTGTGACGTTAGGCACTCGTTACCCCAGTCCTGCATGGCCACCAGGCTGGCTCTGTGACTAAGGCCCCTCCTGACATTTTCTTTTGACGTATGAAGATACCAGCTCTGAAGGGTCTTTAAGCCTAGTGTGGCTGTCGGGTACAGGTAAGCCTCAGCAAGCAGCTCCAGGCAGGGGCATAAAACACACGGCTCCTGAGGCACAGGAGACTGGGAATGTGGAAGGCGATAAATATGTACAATACAATGCCTGTTCAGTTTCTCACCTCTGTTACCATAGTAAAAACTGACCAAAAGCGATTAAGGGGAGGAAGGATCTCTTTGGGTCACGGATGGGGAAGTCAAAGTAGGCAGCAGCTGGTCCTGGCACATCGTTGTCAGAGCAGAGAGAAGTGTGTGATGTTTGCTCGTTTGTCTCTGCGGCTTGCTTTCCACACTCTTGTGACGTGTGGGAGCCCCTGCCCAGCATATTCTCCCCAGAGCCAGATCTCCCCACATCAGTTGACAGTCAAGACAACCCCCACAGCACGTTGGCAGCCCAGCCTCCTCTAAAGTTTCCCCAGCTGGGGCTCTTTTCCCAGTTGACAGCTTCTTGGGCTCCATTACGTCATTTTCTCCTCCCCGCCCCCACCTCCTCCCTCCTCCCTCCCCACTCCTCTCTTTCCTGATCATTTCCTTTCCTTTCTCTTTCCCCTTCTCTTCCTTTCCCCCTGCCCTCCCTCTTCCTCCACTGAGCACTGTCCCTCTTTGTACTTTTAATTTAGAGGCACTGGTCTCACTAAGTTGCCCAGGCTGGTCTGAAAGTCACCCTAACCTGGCAGGCCTTGAATTTATGGTC